ACAGTTGTCGTGTCTCCTTATTCATTCCTGATTTTATTTATTTGTATCTCTTCTCTTTTTTTCTTAGTCTGGCTAAAGGTTTGTCAATTTTGTTTCCCTTTTCAGAGAACCAACTTTTTGTTTCATTGATCTGTGTTTTTTTCATTTTGATTTAATTTATTTCTTCTACTGATTTTGGGCCTGGTTTGCTCTTGCTTTTCTAGTTCTTTAAGATACACCATTAGACTGTTTATTTGAATGTAGGCACATTCTTTTTTTGATGTAGGCACTTATAGCTATAAACTTTTCTCTGAGTACTGCTTTTGCTGTATCCCATATGTTTTAGTATGTTGTGTTTCCATTATTTGTTTCAAGAAATTTTTCAATTTCCTTCTTAATTTCTTCATTGACCCACTGGTCATTCAGAAGCATACTGTTTAATTTCCATATGTTTGTATAGTTTCCAAAATTCTTCTTGTTATTAATTTCTAGTTTTATTCCATTGTGGTCAGAGAAGATGCTTGATATTTTTCCAGTTTTTTCAGTGTCTTAAGACTTGTTTTATGACCTAACATATAGTCTGTCCTTGAGAATGATCCATGTGCTAAGGAAAAGAATATGTATTCTATAGCCATTGGGTGAAATGTTCCGTAAATGGATCTGTTAGATCCATTTGGTCTATAGTGCAGATTAAGTCCAATGTTTCTTTGTTGATTTTCTGTCTAGAAGATCTGTCCAATGCGGAAAGTGGGCTATTGAAGTCTCTAGCTGTTACTGTATTGGAGCCTATCTCTTTCTTTAGCTCCAATAATATTTGTTTTTATATCTGGGTGATTCAGTGTTGGGTGTTGACCTTTTCATCATTACATAGTGACCTTCTTTGTCTTTTTTTATAGTTGTTGTCTTGAAATCTGTTTTCCATAAGTATAACTACTACTGCTCTTTTTTTGTTTTCGATTGGCATGGAATATCTTTTTCCATCCCTTTGTTTTCGGTCTGTGTGTGTCTTTATTGGTGAAGTGTGGAAACAATCAATGGGTCTTATTTTTTCATTCATTCAGCCATTCTATGCCTCTTTATTGGAGAGTTTAGTCCATTTACACTTAATGTTATTATTAATAGGTAAGAACTTACTCCTGTCATTTTGCTATTTGTTTTCTGCTTGTTTTGTGATCTTCTCTTCCTCCTTTCTTTCCTTCCTGTCTTCTTTTAGTGAAGGTGATTTTGTCTGATGATATGATTTGGTTTCTTGCTTTTTATTTTTTTATGTCTCTATTGTATGTTTTCTGGTTTGAGGTTTCCACGAGGCTTGAAAATACTATTTTATAACCCATTATTTCAACCTGATAACTACTTAATATTGTTTGCATAAACAAAAAAGCAAAAAGAAAACTAATAAAAATTCTACACCTGAACTTTATTCCCCTGCTTTTTAACTTCTTGTTGCTTCTATTTATATCTTATTGTACTGACCACACCTTGAAAAGTTGTTGTAGTTATTATTTTTGATTGGTTCATTATTCAGTCTTTCAAGGATAAGAACAGTTTCACACCACAGTTACAGTGTTAAAATATTCTGTGTTTTTCTGTGTACTTATTATAACCAGTGAGTTTTGTACGTTCTGGTGATTAGTTATTGCTCATTAATGTCCTTTTCTTTCTGATTGGAGTAGTCCCTTTAACATTTCTTGTAGGACAGGTCAGCGAATGAAATCCTTCAGCTTTTGTTTGTCTGGGAAAGTCTATTTCTTCTTCATGTTTGAAGATTATTTTTGTGGATATATTATTCTAGGGTAAACGTTTTTATAATGTGTCATGCCACTCCCTCCTGGCGTATAAGGTTTCCACTGAAAAGTCTGCTGCTAGATGTGTTAGAGCTCTATTGTATATTATTTGTTCCTTTTCTCTTGCTGCTTTTAGAACCCTTTCTTTGTCCTTGACCTTTGGGGGTATGATTATTAAATGCCTTTAGGTAGTCTCCTTTGGATTAAATCTGCTGGGTGTTCTATAACCTTCTTGTATTTGGGGACTGATATATTTCTCTAGGTTTGGGAAGTTCTCTGTTATCCCTTAGAATAAACTTTCTGCTCTTTTCTGTTTCTCTACCTCCTCTTTAAGGCCAATAACTCTTAAATTTGCCCTTTTGAGGCTGTTTTCTAGATTCTGTATGCATGCTTCATTGTTTTTTATTCTGTTTTCTTTTGTCTCCTTTGATTGTTTATTTTCAGATAGCCTGTCTTCCAGCCTGCTAATTCTTTCTTCTGCCTGATACATTCTGCTATTAAAGGACTCTGATGCATTCTTCAATATGGCAATTGCATTTTTTTCATTTCCAGAATTTTTGCTTGATTAAAAAAAAGATTATTTCAGTCTCCTTGTTAAATTTATCTGATAGAATTCTGAATTCCTTTTCTGTGTTATCTTGAATTTCTTTGCATTTCCTCAACACAGCTATTTTGAATTCTCTGACTAAAAGATCACATGTCTCTGTTTCTCCAGGATTGGCCCCTGGTGCCTTATTTAATTCATTTGAGGAGGTCATGTTTTCCTGGATGGTGTCGACGCTAGTAGATGTTCTTCAGTGTCTGGGCATTGAAAAGTTAGGTATTTACTGTAGTCTTCACTGTCTGGGCTTATTTGTACTTGTCCTTCTTGGGAAGGCCTTCAAAAGGATTTGAGTGTTTTGATCTAAGCTGTATCTGCTTTAGGGGGCACCCTAAGCCCAGTAATGTTGTGGTTCTTGCAGACTTGTAGAGGTACCACCTTGATGATCTTGGACAATATCTGGGATAATTCTCTGGATATCAGGCAGAGACTTGTTCTCTTCCCTTACTTTCTCCCAAACAGAGTCTGTCTGTCTGTTCTGAGCCACCTAAAGCTGAGGGTGGAGTGACATAAGCACCCCTGTGGCCATGACCACTATGACTGCTGGGTCAGACCTGAAGCCAGCACAGCACTGGGTGTTGCCCAAGGCCTGCTTTACCCACTCCCTGGCTACTGCTTATGTTTGCTTTAGGCCCTGGTGCTCTACAATCAGCTGGTGGCAAAGCCAGCCGGGCCTGTGTCCCTTCCATCAGGGCTGATTGCCATTGGTGAGGTCTCTCAGGCCCTGGGAGGATCCAGAGGTGCTGTCTAGGAGTCAGGGATTAGAGTAAACCTTAGAAGTCTACCAAGTGTTTTTTTTGTGCTGCAGCTGAGCTGGCAGTCAAACCACAAGACGTAGTTCTTCCCACTCTTCCCTCCCCTTTCCAAAGGCAGAGGAGCCTCACCATCCATAGCCACCGCCACAACCGGCCACAAGGAGTCCTGCCAGACTACCGCAGATGTTCTCTTAAGGTCCAAGAGCTCTTAAGTCAGCTTGTGGCCAATGCTGCCTTCCTGGGACTCACTCTTCAGGGCATTGGGCTCCCTTTTGGCCCAGAGCATGTGCAGAAGTGCCAGCCAAGATTCAAGTCCTAGAATCGGGGACCTCAAGAGCCTGTTTCATGATCTACCCTCCCCTGTGGCTATGCTAGTACCTAAAGTGCAAGACAAACTTTTCCCTCTGCTTTTCTCAAGCAAAAGGAGTTTTGCCCTATAATCACTGCAGCTGGTCATGTGCTGAGTCTCACCTAAAGCCAGCAAGTTTCAGACGCTCACCCAAGGCATTCACCGTAGTACCTGGATAATTGCTACTGATTACTCATGGCACAAGGGCTCTTCAGTGAGCAGGTGATGAGTGCTGCAAGGACTGAATCCTTTCCTTCAAGGCAGCGGGTCCCCTTCTGGCCCATAGTATGTCTGTAAATGTTGTCTGGGAGACCTGGAACAGGGGCCTCATGACTCTGATCATTGTCCTCTCTTGCTGTGGCTGAGCTGGTATCCAAGATGCAAGATGAAGTCCTCTCTACTCTTCCCTCTCCTGTCCTTAAGCAGAAGGAAAGCATCTCTTTTAGAGCTATAAGCTGTGCAGTCTGGGATGATAAAGAGGGGTGATGCCCACATTCCCTTGCCTGTCCTAGATGGGATTACTGAGGTATATTGCATGCCCCACTCCAGTACACGGTCTCTGGGCAGCACTAGGATTTCACCTAAGAGTTGCAGTCCAGACTGCCTCTCAAGTTTAGTTAGAGACCCAGAGCACTTTAGCCTTTGGTGGTAAGATTTATGGAAGGTCAAGTTCTGATCACTGGGATCGGCAATTCTCTTCTGTCTCGGGCTAGTTTAAATGCTCCCTCCATGGGCCGGTGGCAGCTGAGTTTGGTTCGGTTTTCTGTTCTGTTCTAACAAGACGGCACTGCGTTCAGTGCCTCACAATTGCTGTGTTCTTTCTTCCCCAGCAAACAGAGACACTCTCAGTACCGTGCCGCCACTGTGGGGGGTTGGCGAGGGTGGCATTGGCAATTGAAGACTGTTTTTTCTATCTCATTAGTGTCCTTTTCTGTGATACCGAGTTAAAACCAGATACTATGAGTGATTTTTGGTTCTTATGAAGGTGTTTCTTCTGCGTAGATAGTTGTTAAGTTGGTGTCCTTGTAGGGGAGACAATTGGCAGATTCTTCTATCTGCTATCTTGCTCCACATTCTCTCCCCAAACTATACATTTTACAGAGTTGCAGGAGAGAAGCAACTTACCGAAGGTCACAAAGCTGGTTATTGTCAGAAACAGAGCCAGAGCGCTGGCATTCAGTGCCCAGGCCAGCATTGGTTTTTCCAAACACATTGGACAGGGAGTTCCTGCTGTAGCGGCTTTTGCTCTTTCTTTAGTAGAAAGTTGTTTTTTATATTTACTCATCTAGATGAGAAGAACCAAAGGCTGGATACTTCTTTGATGTAGAGCTTCCTATTTGTCACTAGTTTCCAACACACTTCAGAGTACTGGGGGAGACGGAGCTATTTCCGGATGCTGTGGATCCCTAGGGGGTCTGTTCAGCATGGATGGGAGCCAGCATGGTTGGGTGCTGCCTTTGCAGGTCAGGGCTCTTTATTTTGTACAGTCCAGTGACTCCCTGCATTCCAGCTGTTCTTCTAGAGAGCCCATTCTAGTCCTTCCATGTTCTTTGCTGCAACTGCTCCTTTGATTTAAATATTTTTGGGTGGTTTTCAATTTTAACTGTTCTTGCTAAAAGTGCAGTAATTAAGAAAATTAATTGTACAAGGTTTATTTTTATTTTTATTTTAATGCTCTTGGGTTTTCTGCTGACCATTATCTCTCTGAAAGAAAGCACCTTCCTCATCTTGTTCACAGTGGAATCCCTGGCACTGAGCCCAGTGCCTGGCCTAGATTAAGCACAGATCTATTTATTAAGCGAATGACTGACTTCTATAACGCATTAACTTTACATTGGTAACTGAGGGGAAATTTCGAAAGGTGAAATTGCTCAGGTAAAATGAAGAATCCCTTAAGAAGTAACTGGGTTCAGTAGTCACTACTTCATGTTCAATAAACATTTATTTGTGATCTGTTATATGCCAGTATTATGGTAGGTCCTGATAATTCAAAAATGAAAAGCGTTGTTTCTTCTACTATGAAACTATCAGCCTGGTGGTGGTGAATCTAGGGGTTAAATGGATCATTTTAACATCATGTGCTAAAGGTAGAGTCACAGACAGTGTTTGCGGAGCAGGAAAAGGATAAGAAGGGTCCATGGGTGGCAAGCAAATGGTCTGGGAAGGCTTCCAAGAGGAAAGAAGTTCTCAGCTGAATTTCGAAGAATGAGTAGGATTCACAAAAGTAAAGGAGGGCGAGAAGGGGGTCTCTAGGCAGAGAGAACAGAGGGAACAGTATAGGACAAAGCATGGGAGTATTAAGCATTATGTTTACGTTGGATCTAAAATGACTTTCATTATAGCCTTTGTGAATATGGGGTGGGGAAGGTGGGAGCTGAGGCCATGGAGTTAAACAGGGGCAAGGTCCAGGTGGCTGCATATGCATAGGCTTTACCAGGCAGCCATTGAAGGGCCCTGGGACAGTGCAAATGCAGAGTCATTGGGCTGCATTTGTGATGGGAGATGTCAGTTTTGAGATGGTTTGAAGCCAGAGTTGGCGAGGGCCTTGCAGCTTGGAGACCACTTAGGAGGCTGATAAAATATCCAAAAGAGCGCTGATAGTCTCAACTTGGGAAGAGGCCATGGGAGAGCTCCTCTTCAAGCAATCATTTAAGGACTCTTTGCTGAGTACTGAACAAAGCTATGTTCTGTGCCAGGCAGAGAGAACATTGTGGTGAAGAAAACAGCCACCACCACTGCTCTGATGAAGCTTGAAGGCTGAGAGGAAGGAAGGCAGAGATTAATCAGATAATTCACTAATAAGATGTGTAATTATAGGGAAGATGAAAGCAATGAAGGAAAGGAAAAACCTGAGATCAAACAGACCAGGGCCTGGTGAGAAGGCAGTGGCTCAGGGAAAGCTTTCTGATAATAGTGATACTGATGGTCAGGAAGCATTATGTGGATGACGGAGTTGGGGAGATTTTTTCTAGACTGAGGAAGTAGCAAATGTGAAGACCCTAGCACAACAGGGAACTCGGAATATCTGAGGAGTGGAAAGCAGGGCTAGAGTGATCCTGAATGAGAGAAATTATGGTAGGTGATGAGGCTGGGTAAGTAGTCAGGAGCCAAGATCATGTAGGAACCAGCAATTCAGAGTAAGTAGCATGAATTTTATTCTAAGAACAATGACAAGCAGCCAGACAGATTGAAAGCAGGAGAGTAGCGTGGGTTGATTTTCACTTCTGAAACAGCAGACTGGCTGCTGTGCACAGAATGATCTATTCTAGGGTGGATCCGAAGTGCAGGTGTAGAAGTTCAGGTAAGGCATGAAGGCACAGGTAACGTGGTGTCATTGAAGATGAAGAGATGTGGATGGGTTCAAGGCATGTTAAGAGGTAAAACCTACAGGGTTTAGTGTTGGACTGAATATGGGGAGAAATATGGCAAGGTCAAAAAAGTTAACCAGGCTTTTTGACATGCACTGTTGACTGGATGGTGATGCTATTCAGTGAAATAAAATGGCTCTGGAGGAAAACCAGATTTAGGAGTGAGACCATGAGTTTGGTCATTGCTACGTTGAGGATGAGGTGCCTTTGGATTGTGGAGGTGCAGAGTAGGTCATGGCCTGTATGGGTGTGGAGCTTAGAGGAAGGACTGGAGACATGACTTTCAAAGTCATTGGCCTTGAAATGATATTTGAAGAAGTGGGTGTGAATGAGATTGCTTAGGAAAAGAATGGAAAATAGAAGGCTTAGGAGTAAAGAAAAAGCCAGACTGAGAAATGAGGAGGTAAAAGTAGTTGAATTTGGTGATTGATAGATTGAAGAAGGTGAAAGAAAAGCTGTTGCCCAGAATGGCTTCTGGATGTTACATGTGTGCGATCTAGTGGGTGATGGTACATTAACTAGCTGGGGATAACTTTTGTTTGGGACATGCTGCATTTAAACAGTGTGTGGAATGCACAGTTATTATTGCCATCATAAAATGTATGTGTTTTTGCGTTTTTCTTAGCTTCTCTCTTGCAACTTTTCCATATCCCACTCCAAATATATAGGAGGAATAATGGAACTAAGTAGGTGATCGCTAAATTTTGGTAGACAAATGGGAGAGGGAAGAAGTACAGAAAGACTCAGGGGCAGGGAGTCCAGGGAGTCAATACAGGGAGACAATGCTAAAGCTTAGTGGTAGGATGAAAAGTTGGAAGAATAATAGAAGAGGATGGGATATAAAAGAATATGGAAATGCAGAGTTGGAGGAGGAAGAGCAAAACTGAAGATGTGATGAACCTTCACAGATCCCTCACCCAACTTTGACAATTATCAACTTCTGGTTAGATTTTTTTCATCTTTACCTCTACTCACTCCCACCAGTTCCCAAGGTTATTTTAAAGTAATTCAAAAACATGATATTATGTGTTTTTCCATCTCTATAACATTCTTAAAAGGACAAAACTATAGAAAAAGAAAACAGAGTAATGGTTGCCATGGAACAGGAATTGCATGAGGGAATTTTCTGAAGGTGAAATAAGAGGGTTACTATTTCTCTCAAGCTAGCACCTAAGCCAGGCCTTTGCTTATTATAGCCACTGCCTGAAAAGTGTCTTTGGATTACTAAGTAATGAGATTTTATTATACAAGCTTATTAGTTTACATTGCAAACAATATAGTTGATGGTTTATATCAAAATGTAATGGCCAAAGTGGACTCTTTTTATAGGTCAGCTTCTAGCTTATTGTTTTTTCTTTTTTGGCAATTCAGTTCCTTCCGGTTAAAAATGTGTATTTATGGAGTGAGATTTTGACCAGAGCTTATTGATGGTCTGCTGTGTTGGGCTTCATGCTATTGCATCAAAGTACTTGGGAATGTATCATATGTGATTCTAATTAATTTCCTGTGGGTATGATTTCTTAGCAGAAAGAGCTGGATATGGAGGAAGTGTCCCTAAAATCATTTATCCAAAAAATAATTCAATTGAAGTACAGCTTGGTGAGTAAAATCATTGAAGCCATTGAAATCACCAGGGGAAGAGCTCATTATGTTTGCATATTCTGGTGAATATTTGAATGTTAAGGATGAAGATAAATCCCATACACACCCATTTTCCAACTTTTGATATACCTGAGCTCATGGGGAGAGGAATCAAAATAAAACACCAGAGAGCTGAAGCTTGGAAAAGTTGTGGTGGCAGAGAAGTCTGTCAGTGAGAACTCTGGGCCCAAAATGATTATTATAAATCTGTTTATGCAAAGGCAATGAAGATGCAAATAATTCTTCAGACAATATGTAGTATAATATAAAACTATTAAATAATGTTGACCAGGAGTTCTGGATTGTATTACCTCACAATGCAAGGTATATGAAAGGAGTGAAAAAAAATATTATGTTACATTCCTTAATCTGCATGGAAAAGCATCAATAAGCATTGCCTCAGTTTGTGATCTAAGTAGATAAAAAGGGTCAAATTATTTTTTTTAAATTAAAAAATAATCACTAGTGGCCGGGTGTGGTGGCTCAAGCCTGTAATCCCAACACTTTGGAAGGCCGAAGCGGGCAGATCACGAGGTCAGGAGATCGAGATCATCCTGCCTAACACGGTGAAACCCCGTCTCTACTAAAAAATACAAAAAATTGGCCAGGCGTGGTGGCGGGCACCTGTAGTCCCAGCTACTCGGGAGGCTGAGGCAGGAGAATGGCGTGAACCCGGGAGGCGGAGCTTGCAGGGAGCCGAGATTGTGCCACTGCACTCCAGGCTGGGCGAGAGAGCGAGACTCTGACTCCAAAAAAAAAAAAAAAAAATCACTAGTAAAATAAATATGCTGTATTACATCTGAAGAAAAAGCAAATTAGACAAAAATCTCAACACCTCCCAAAATAGAAACTTTTAAGTGTCAAATAGTAGTGTATCAAAATATATAATGCTAAAAGTCTCAGAAATACAATACAATAAAACAACACAATTGTTTCAGTTGTAGGGGGAGGTTTTAACATACTCTTGCTTTGAGAAATTTGCTAGAAGAGTAAGAGTCTACATGGTTCAAGTAATCTAGCAAAAGTAATGTGTCTAATACATAGATCACTCTCAGAAACATCTATGAAAAACCCAGAGTCCAAAAGAGGAAATTGTACAGATCATGGGGTATAATCATGATGCAGTAAGTGTAAAAATTTGTATCTAAACCAAAACAATAAAATAATCACATTCATTAAGTATGTGAAGTGATTAATTTGTTAATTAGCTTGATTTAATTATTCTACAATATAAACATGTATCAGAACATCACATTGTACCCATAAATATATGTAATTATTATTTGTCAATTAAAACTAAAAAAAAAAATTTAAAACATAAACAACAAAAAATCCATCTCAATTATTTGCGTTTTTTGTTAGAGAACCAAAGCCATAGTTAAAGAATATTTAGAAAATAATGATAGTGAGAATACTTCATATCAAATTTCATGGCATATGACCAATGCTGTACTCTAAACGAGTTTATATCTTTAAATAACGTTATTATTAGTAAGTGTGGAAATAATTAAAATATGCAACTAACCATTTGACTCTATAAGAAGACCAATTGAACAACTAGAATAAAAGTAGAAAATAATGAATTTATTAAAGGAAAATAAACTAACTGAATCTGTCCCAAAGTTGGTTAAGGGCAGAAGAGTTGAGGTGGGAGTTGGGGAGAAAGATAAACTTCCAGCAAATCTAATCCCCTAAATGCAGAGACACCCAAATATAAAATAATTAGAAACGTGGGAAAGTTTATATAAAACAACAAATGGTAAAAGATAAAATCTGTTTAAATGCCTCTAGTCCCGTATGTTTTTAGGAGAATTCTTTTAAACTTTCAAGGAAATAATAATACCCATAAAAAGTATAATTGTCTACACATTACTCATTATGTGACTAGTCTTAAAAGACACATTTGGCTGTTTTATCTCTCTTAGTTGACTTTCTTCCCCTACTCCTGTCTTTGGAAATTCTAGCCAATGTATTGAGACAATTAAAAGGCAAGAGAAGGAGTTTTGGAAGTCTTGGAGGGAGGAAGACAAACATAATTTTTAAAACATGATCTATTGGTTTCTACTTAGAAATTTTAAGAAAATTAAGTAAAAAAATGACTAGCATTTGCTTATTAATGTTATTTTAATACAAGATAAACATTCAAAGCTAATAGCATTTTTACATGCCTGAAATAGCACATATTATGTAACCAGGGAAGACAGCATTCACAATTGCAATACAAGAAACAAAATAGTAAGGAACAACTGAATAAGAAATTAGAAAGAGTTGCCTACATGATTAGAAATGCAACATTTTATCATTTTATAGGTGGAACATAAAATAATATGTGTTTTAGTGAAATTTCAAAAGATGTTCCTAAATAGAAACACTCAGTATTAAAAATGTTATTTCTCCTAGATTAATATACAAGTTTAATATAACACCAATTAAATTACTGAATATCCTAAAACTTGTCAAAACATTTCTAAAATTTCTGTCAAAAATGCTGGAAAGAGCCAAGAAAAAAATTGAATAGAAGAAAAAAGAGAGAGTCATTTCCTTGTAAGTATTAAAATATATTATAAAGATAGAGATTATTAGTATGTCAACAAAATTGCTGACTAGGGGTTCCTAGCACTAATTCCCCTACAAAAGGGCCAAAATATAAAATTAATAGCTACATTTTGACTAGTGTGTCTGAAGGAGGGCGCTAGAGTACAGCATAGAAATGATGGAATCTCTGCGGAGCACGGAAACCCAGGATGGCAGCATAAAGAGGGGAGGAAATCACCCTTTCTCTGTCACTCTGTTTTCCCCACCAAGGTTGACTTGGCGCCAAGAGAAACTTCTCCTTGCAGGGAAAAGGTAAGCAGAAGGCCCCTGCAACCTTCGTTATTACCATAGACACCTGCAGTTCTTGCTACAGAAGAAACCTGCAGTCCTCACAGGCCCTGAGCCCAGTTTGGGGAGCAGCCTGGGGTTCTCATGGCTACATTGCTCCAGTGCAGGAAACTACCTATTGCACACCCTTATCCCCTATGACCTACGAGCTATGTCATGGCACTATCTTGGAATTATAGCTACTGCTAGAGTGAGTCCTGTTCTGGGGGCCAGTAGCCCCTGCATCTCTCCATCCCCAAGGCTTTCCCATTATTCCACCATGTTCATACAGGTGGCTACAACTTCACAATCCTGGTTACTTAGAGTATGGGCCCTGTGAAATTACTGTGCCCAAAGGCACATGGTGCCCTGCTTCCTGTATGGACAGGCAGTCCTGCATAACCAGGGAAGCTTCCCCTAGCTAGCAGATCTACTCTGCTCACCCTCATACCCATGAGGGTGTATGTACTCACCCTCAGCCTGAGAACCAGCTCAGTAGCCCTGCCCCTGGCAAGACCACACCCCTTTTCGATTGGACCTACTGTGTGTGCACACACACCCTTGGCCTGAGAACCAACCTGGTAGCCCAGCATCCTGCAAAGCCATGCCACTGCCAGTACAAACTCCTGCAGCCTAGGCCACTGAAACACTCAAAGATATTGCAGATGTGGATTGTAGCTGAAGACACTGCATGAAGACTACACTTCTGTCTCTATCTAGAACCAAAGCCAACATACCCTATCCAACTGACATGCTAGGATGCATCTACAGAAAAAGTCTTTCTCTAAGAAAGCTACTTCATAAAATTAGAAGGGGTGACTGTTGCATCAGATGTGCAGCTATCAACATAGGGACACAAGAAACATTTAAAAAGAGGAAACATGACACCTCAAAGGAGCACAATAATTCTCCAGTAACAAACCTCAAAGAAAATAAGATTTACTAAATGCCTGAAATGGAATCCAAAATAATGATCTTAAACCCAACTAGATACAAGAGAATACAAGCAAATAATGTAATGAAATCAGAAAAACAATTTATGAAAAAAAAATTCCTTAGGGATTTCTTGTAAGGCTGGTCTAGTAGCAGTGAATTCCCTTAGTTTTTGCTTGTCTGGAAGGGACTTTATTTTTCTTACATTTCTGAATAAGAAATTCAACAGAGATGTACATTATAAAGAAGAACCCAAGAGAAGTCTGAGTTTAAGAATTCAATGAATGAAATAAATGCAATTGAGAATTCAACAACGGAATTCAACAATCTAGTGATCATTATATAATGACCTTCTTTGTCTCTTCTTGTAACTTTTAACTTAAAGTCTATTTTTTTCTGATGTAAGTGCAACCATTCCTGCTTGCTTTTGTTTTCCATTTGCATGGAATATCTTTTTTTCATCTCTTCACTTTCCATGTATATGTATCCTTACTGGACCTACTGTGAGTCTGTGAGTAAAGTGAGTCTCTTTCAGGCAGCACATAGTAGGTTCTTGTTTTTTCTTTTAATCCAGTTTGCCACTATATGTCTTTGAAATAGATAATTTAATCCATTTACATTCAAGGTTATTATTGATCGGTAAGAACATGACTCCTGACATTTTGTTAATTGTATTCTGGTTGTTTTCCAGATCCTTTGTTTCTTTCTTTCTCTCTTGTTTACTTTTGTGGTTTGGTGGTTTTCTGTAGTCCTAAGTTTGGATTCCTTTTTCTTTTTATTTGTGTATCTACTGCAATTTCTATCATTGTGGCTACCATGAGGCTAACATAAAGACTTTTATAGTTATAATAGACTATTTTAAGCTGATTACAATTTAACTTTGGTCACATAAAAATACTCTAGACTTTTATCCTCCTCCTAACAGTTTATACTTTTGTTGCCTTAATTCACATCATTATACGTTGTGTGTTCTTTAATAACCAATTGTGTCTGTAGTTATTTTTGACCATTTTGACCTTTAAACTTATTACTAGAGGCTTGAAAGATTTACATAGCACCATTACAGAATTGAGATATTCTGAATTCAATTTTGAATTTACCTCTACTAGTTAGTTTTCACATGTTTTTATGATGGTAATTATCACCCTTTCACTTTCAGTTGCAGCATTTTGTTAGGGATTTCTTGTAAGGCTGGCCTAGTAGCAGTGAATTCCCTTAGTTTTTGCTTGTCTGGAAGGGACTTTATTTTTCTTACATTTCTGAAGGATAGCTTTGCTGGGTATAGTATTCTTGGACAGCGGTTTTTATTTTCGTTCAGCACTGAATATATCATCCTTTGCTCATGAATTGGAAGAATTAATATGGTTCAAATGTCCATCCTACTGAATGCAACTTACAGATTCAGTGCAATCCCTATTAAAATACCAATGATGTTATTTTGACAGAAAGAGAAGGAACAGTCCTAAAATTCATATAGGACCACAAAGCACCCTGAATAGCCAAAGCAATCTTGAGGAAAAGACCAAAAGGCCCCAAACCAAAGACAAAGCTGGAAGTATCACACTATCTGACTTCAAAATATACTAAAAAGCTATAGTAATCAAAACAGCATGATATTAGCGTGAAAACAGACACATAGATCAATGGAACAGAATAGAGAGTCCAGAAATAAATCCACAAATCAACAGACAACTGATATTTGACAAAAGTGCCAGGAACACACATTGAACAAGTAAGAGTCTCTTCAATAAATGGTGATAGGAAAATTGGATATCCACATGCAGAAGAATGAAACTAGACCCCTATCTTTTAACATATTCAAAACTTAACTTGAAATGGATTAAAGACTTAAATATAAGACCTGAAACTATGAAGCTACCAGAAGAAAACATAAAGGAAGTGCTCATGACATTGGACTGGACAGGGATGTTTTGGATAAGACCTCAAAAGCACAGACAATGAGAGTAAAAATAGACAAATGGGATTACATCAAATCAAAAAGCTTCTGCACAATAAAATAAACAATCAACAGAGTGAAAACACAATCTACAGAATGGGAGAAAATATTTGTAAACTATGCATCTGACAAGGGGCTAATATCCAGAATATATAAGGAACTCAAATAGCTGAACAACAAACAAAAAAAACCTAAAAAACAAAACAACAAATAATTTGATTAAAAAAAGGACAAAAGACATTACTTCGGGGATTTGGACAATATCCTGTTTTCTTGATGAGGTGAAAGTGTTATAGATATTTGCTTTATGATAATTCATTAACTTTGCATTTCTATTCTATACTCTTTGGTATATGTGTGTTATATTTCACACACATATATTTTTAAAACATATCGTTTAGAATAAAGAACACTCCTTGAATGTTAGAATTTGCTAGGCTCATGGGACAAAATCCACTGAGACTATAAATTATGAAATTTGTGAATGTGTGTAGAGGCAAGATAAGGGAAAGAGAGGGAAAGGGTGGGGGTTACATTTTTTGAAGTAGAAATATCACTGGATTTGATGTTAGAAATCTAGAGTTCATCTCTCATTTCTTCCTCTAATTAATTTGGGCAAGTCACTCCATCTGTCTGAACTTCAGTTTTTGCATCCTTAACATGAGGATAATCGCACCTCCCCTTTTCCTGCCTTGTAAGATTGTTTTGAAGATACAAAGAATGAAGGAGAAAATGCATAAAATACTTTGTGAACTGTCAAGTTCTTTGCTAGTGTTACTAGGAGTAGAAATAACATTTGTGTACCTGATGATGTTTGGTAATGTATATGTATCCCTTTACAATGGATGTCCTGGAAGGCCACTTGCCCCTCATGGTCTCTCTCCAGGGAAAGAAAAAAATAGATTAACATTAGCCTATGGGAGTATTTCTGGTAATCAAAAGGTATTTGAGGCTTGAGAGTAAGATGCACTCGTTATCCAGGTGTTAACAAATTTGAAAGTTTGTAGAATTTTCATTGAATATTGATAATATTGATTTTTTAGGTACCACCCTGATAGTGGACTGTAATATAACAGACACGAAGGATAATACAAATCTACGATGCTGGAGAGTCAATAACACTTTGGTGGATGATTACTATAATGAATCCAAACGAATCAGAGAAGGGGTGGAGTAGGTATTTTGCTTTTTTGACTTCTGTAAAAGCTAGCAAGGATTTCTCCATCTGAGTGAATCTGGTATCACTATTGCCTTCTCCTCTTGTTTTTGCCTCTCAGTGATTCATGTTACCAATCCCACCTACCACATAGTTAGGGAGATATGGTAAAATACCAAGTATCCCTGAGAGCAGTAAGATCCGTTTCTCTCAGCTACTACTTAAAATTAGTACCATCTCCATTCAATTATATCATGATCCATAGGCCTTCAAAACTTAACGCCCTGGGCATACTAGGGAAACACTGGAAGTGACACAAATGTGTATACTGCAACAGTAGAAGGAAGAAATAGTAGTACAGTTCTTTACTATACTAAACAAGCACCAACAAGGACTCTGAGGGAAGACAGTGCATAATCATTAGCTAATTAAATGGGTATAAACTCAAGTTATGGTGGTATAAATGGAGTGGTGTAAATAAAACTAATGAAGTCAGAGGGCAGGAGAGCTTGCGTTGGGCCTTGTAGGGTGGACAAGTTAGGATACGTGGAAAGGAATAGGGGAAGGGTCTTTGGGGCTGAGAATGGTGTCTGTAGCTTACAGAACCATACTTCCTTGTCACCATGCAGAAGAAAATGCAAATTTGGAAGTACACAATCTACATACCTCACTGGGCCAGTCAGCAAAGTATTCTTAGGATAACATGATGGTCCAAAGTGTTCTCCAAGAAAACACTTAATCTCCAGAAAACAGACCATAAAATATGTTAGGTAAATACGACTCATGTATTAATGACTGGCTTTTTTCTTTTATAGAACCCATGCCTCTTTTCGGGAACATAATTTGTACACAGTAAACATCACCTTCTTGGAAGTGAAAATGGAAGATTATGGCCTTCCTTTCATGTGCCACGCTGGAGTGTCCGCAGCATACATTATGTTACAGCTCCCAGGTAATACTCCAGTGGGTTACACACTGTTCAGAGTGTTCAAAACGATGGCCAGGAAACACATCTGAAGGAGGAGTGACTCTAAATGCTCAGAGTGAGGCATGAGGATGGTATTAAAGGGACAAACTCAGTATGAAATCTAGGGAAAAGTTCATGCAACGGCTCATAATGTTGTTGGAATGAGTCTGTGATTTTATTGCAGTATATTTTGAAAGTGCCATATTTTCAATACATCAAGATTTATACATCAAAACAGAAAGAAAACAAAAGCTTTTCTTTATTAAGTGTGATTGCCAAATGTTTATAATTTGATATAAAGCCAAAATGCCTATGTATATTTTTACTATGTAACTTTGTAAAATTATCCGTAGAGGCTGAATTCTGGTATTTAAGCAGGAGGGCTTCCAACTCAATGTGCGTATACAAATTGCACTCTGAGCACCGTACAGAACTAATTGATTATCCACTGGAAGTTTTAAAGCCAGTGTACAGATAGTGGAGGGTGAAGCCAGAATCTTGAGAACAACTTTAAATTCGTAACATATCAGAAGTGTATGAAATACCTTGCAAAATTCTGTGTGGTTTATCAAGACAGTGGTTCTTCTTGATTCTATTAATATCATTAGTGTATATGTGTGTGTGTGTGTATGTGTGTGCACGCGCACGCGTTTGTGTGTTTGTGGCTAGCTACATGCAAGAAAGAGGACTTGAATTTGCTGGTGTCCTTCAATGATCAGTTAAACCTATGCTTGCATACATCACACTGAAGCCCCACCTAACAGAAAACACCTAACAGAAAACACAGTGTTTGCTGTATGGAGTTGGCAATTGTGCCTTTGCCCCTGCCAAGATCCTGGCCTCCTAAGTGCCCGTGACCTCTCTTAGAATTGTGATGAATAGAGATCTGTGCACAGCAGCTTGCAGCTCTGGGTGCGCACGTTCTCTGCCTCACTTCTGTGTCCTGAAGGCCAGTGTCGTTCTGGCCTCAGCTGCCTTAACTGAACGAACACAGCACCCTCTCCTCACCCTCATGGCATGGGGAGTCCTTCTTGGGTTGCGTCATGTGGAAGGACCCTTGGGCTCATCTGTCACCACTGCCCATTTTTTTCTCTTCTTACTGACTTTTCCTTGTCATAAAACATCCTTTTCCATCACTTTCCCCTAGTCAGTCTTACATTTGCCATCTCTCTCTCTCTGGTACCTCTATGAGGTTCATCATCTGTGCTGCTCTTCTTTCTGTGTCCTCATTCCTGAAATCTTTTTCCCCTTTATGGCATCGACTGTCATTCCTGGGCAGGTGCAAACATGTTCCATGTATCCAGCTGTATACTGTTTTCCCCCGTGACAGCTCTGCATTTCCAACTGCATAAGGGAGTGCAGATACACTGGCTGATGTCAGAAAGCGTGTTTAAACTGGCTGATGTCAGAAAGCATGTTTAAACTCTCCAACCTCCTGGTTCTGTTTTTCTTACGTTTGTAAATGGAACCCCTGTATCTTCCACGTTGTTCAGGCTCAAAATCTGGGGTCATTTTGATGTTTTCCCTTAGCCTCCCTCATGCCAGCACCCAATGACTTGCCAAGTTCTGTGGATTCTTACCCTCCTGCCCATTCCCACTAACAAGCTGGATGGTAGGGTGAGTCCTGCCCTGGACTTAAAGGTCAGGTTTTCAGGCTCAGATCCTATCTTGTTCACTTGGGAGCTCTGTGAGGACAGCACTGTCACTCAACCTCTCTGTGCCCGCGTCTCCTCATCTGGGAAATGACGAGGATAGCGACTTCCTTCCACGGCTGTTGTAAGAATCAGCTGGGATTTTCTTTTATACTTTTTATTGTGGAATATAACGTATATATTATACATGCTATAACACATGCACATATATGGTAAAGGAACACTGAATATCTGCATCACATAACAAGTCATTGTGTAGCAAATACTCATGAAACTACCACCTGGATTAAGAAAAAAGCATTGCCTGAAAAACCCCTGGATGTTCTTCTTGATCCTTCCCTCTTGATAATCATCCTCCCAACTTTTAGGAAAGTCATTTCTTTGATTTTCTATCTATGCTGACAGTCCTAATAATACAATTTATTTTTGCCTAGTTTTGAGTTTTATATTAAGAGAGTTACATAGTATGTTTTATTTTCTTAGGTGTGGGGGGCTTATCAGTGTATCGCTGATATAGCATGTAGCATAGTTCATTAATTTACATTGCCATATCCTAGTCCATTGAATAACGAGGTCACAATTTATCCACTGGGCTATAAGTATGTGGTTTGCATTGTTTTGAGTTTGGAGCTATTAACAAATGATACTGCTATGGAAATTCCTGTTTGTGTGTCTGTGTACCCATGTAGAGGCATCCCTCCAGGATATATGATGAAGAGTAGCTTTGCCAGGTGAGAGTCTGTCGTTAACATTTCCATAGAATGCCACACTTTTTTACAATGTGATTCACTGATATTTACTGCCAGGCGATGAAATGGAAACTCCTGGCTTGGCATTCAGGGCCTCCCTAATCTACTTGTTCCCACTCATTTCCCAGTTGTCACCTTCATCTACCCCACAGAACAGAGAGCCAGATCACAGACAAAGGTGGGTCTTTTGTGAGCTCATATTGTGGTGAAGGAGGTGACTTTGAGACAAGTGCAGAAATGTGTGGTAGGTCAGTGAGGACAGGTTGAAAACCTGTTTTCACTGAAGCGGAGCCTGCTGGCGTTTCCTCCCTCTGACTCTCCATTAGCTTACAGCAGAGATGCAGCCTGGCTTAGGTCAGAGAGAGAGAGACTCAGGGTCCACCCCGGAGAACAGAGGTGAAGCTGTTGTAAGAAGTCTTGGAGAGTCCACGACACCTGAAGTGGTTACAACTTAAATCTGTCCCAACCTAGAAGTTTGAGTTCTTTATTGGATAATATAGACTGAAGTTGGCCAACAGTGATTTCCACGCCAATACTGACTTGTTGGACTATTTGAAAGCACTGTGTTCCGAAGGATTCTGAGGCCAAGTCCAAGCTCAGAGGAGCTAATGCTGTGACCAGTTAACACTTGTCAAGCTTGTGGAGGGATGGAGTCCTTTACCTCCTTTGTTTTAAGCTCTTGCTTCTTAAATCCCTTAGTTCCTGGCAATGCTCATTTTATCTCAAATGTAGAGTATTTTGGTTCTATTGACTTAGTTTTGTTTGTCCTGAGTTCCTGGAACTTCACCCTCTTAAATGTAAACCTCTTGTTGGTTTACTTGGGGACAGAGCTAAGGTTATAGCTTCTCCATTTGACTTCCTTGTGTTTGTTGAAGACACCTCCAGATTTGAATCTTTTTTTTTTTTTTTTTTTTTTTTTTTTGAGACGGAGTCTCACTGTGTCTCCCAGGCTGGAGTGCAGTGGCGCGATCTCGGCTCACTGCAAGCTCCGCCCCCCGGGTTCACGCCATTCTCCCGCCTCAGCCTCCCAAGTAGCTGGGACTACAGGCGCCCGCTACCACGCCCGGCTAGTTTTTTTTTTTTTTGTATTTTTAGTAGAGACGGGGTTTCACCATGTTAGCCAGGATAGTCTGGATCTCCTGACCTTGTGATCCACCCGCCTCGGCCTCCCAAAGTGCTGGGATTACAGGCTTGAGCCACCGCGCCCGGCCCAGATTTGAATCTTATCTGGTTTTTCTGAAGCAGGGTCTCTAGAAAGTTGTTTAAATTGAGTGTGCTCTTCTGTGAATTCGCTTGTTACTTATGCTCACCCACCATCTCAGTAGAAGGCTGGTAGTAGTCAAATGACTCAGATGGTGAATACCACCATTAACCTTTACCATGACATCTAGTACATCAAGAATGGACTCCCCATTTATTTCTATTTCGAAGCCCCGAGTCCTTCTGAATGTATTCGTTAATGACCTGTTTCCAATTTCATTCTCTTTTAGCTCGTTTATAGAGCAGAGGGCATCAATACTCCTGAAGGCAGTGAGTGAAAAGCCCGAGAATTTTAGAGCATCACTCCTGTCTATGTGCCAGAGGCTTTCTGAGCCTCATTAGTACTGTGGGCATGGTCTTCTTATTAGGACAGTTAACAACACCAAGATCTCTGAAACAGACACTAAATATTCCCAGACACAAGTCATCCCAAAGAGAGAGGTGGCAATACTGCCCCTAGAAGGAATTCTAATGAGAGCTGGGAAAGGGCAAAGAGGGGTAGAAGATGGGGAAGCAGGAAGGATCTGTCTCATGATTGAAGTGAGAGGTTCTCGCAAGTGCCCAGGATTAGCTCGGGCACTGGTGTGTAGTGCCGTGCGTCTATTCTGGCTGCACTGGGACTTACTCAATGAATTCATTTTGTTTTGGCACAAATTTGTTCTTAGTTATTGTGCCATGTATTTAAAGATGTGCAATAGTAAATGGGAAATCTTGGGCCTCAAGATGTTTACGACATGGTGTGGCCTAAGGCAGGTGGCAATAAGCTCTTTAATGTGTATTTTATAGTCACTGTGGAAAACATAGTGGTTCCTCAAAAAACTAACAATACAACTACCATATGATCCAGCAATCCCACTGCTGGTTATATACCCCAAAGAAAGGGCATTAACATGTTAAAGAGATTTGTGCACTCCCGTGTTTATTGCAGCACTGTTTACAATAGCCAAGATGTAGAATCAACCTAAGTGTCCATCAATGGATGAATGGATAAAGAAATTCTGTCACAGATGCACAATGGAATATTATTCAGCCATAAAAGAGAATGAAATTCTGTTATTTGCAGCAAAGTGGATGGAACTGGAGGCCATTATGTTAAGTAAAATAAACCAGGCACAGAAAGACACATATTGCATATTTTTACTAATATGTGAGAACTAAAAAAATTAATCTCATGAAGGTAGAGAGAAGAATGGCGGTTACCAGAGGCTGGGAAGAGTAGTGGTGAAGGGGGAATAAAGAGAGGTTGGTGAATGGGTAAATAAAAAAAACAAAACATTTTGATAGTAGGAATGAGATCTAGTGTTTGGTAGCACAACAAAATGACTATAGATAACAAGAATTTATTGTATAATTCAGTATAACTAGAGGAATGGATTTGGAATATTCCCAGCACAAAGAAATGATGAATGTTTGAGGAGATGGTTATCCCAATTACCCTGATTTGGTCATTACACATTGTATGCTTGTGTCAAAATATTACACATACCCTATAAATATGTGCAACTATTATGTACCTATAAACTTTTTTAAAAATTAAAGTGCTCTAGGGGCTCAGTAAAAAAGAACCCCCCTCTTCCTCCTCTCCTCTGCCCACCCCACCATCCGGTGAGGACTGGAGGATGAGGAAGGGGCTGAAGAAGGAAGTGGTGTGTGAGGTGGGTTTTAAGAATGGGGAGGACTTTTCTTCCTGTCTCCCTCTTCCCCTTTTCTGATTCTTTCCTTCCCAGAGGGTCTTCTTTGGTGGGATGGGTTTGGGCTGCGGTGAGACAGAAGTCATGCTGTTCCTTTTCTTGGATGTGTAGGAGCATGTTTTCGGGGACTTGAGGTTCCAGAGGAGCTGGTTCTGCTCCTTGGCCATCTCCTGCCCACCACTTAGGCTCATAATTGCTCTGCAATGGACGCATGAAGCAGGGTAGGGTGTAAACATTCTTTCTGAGACTGTGTCTCTCGCACAGGCACCCAGCCTGGAAATCGATGGCACAGAGAGGATGAGGTAGAGGTTTGGCTCTTGGCCTGTCTTGTGGAGCCAGCCACGCAGGTTCCAGAGGGGACAACTGTTGGTTCTTTAAGGATGATGGGTGTCCAGCTGTTCAACTTTGAATGGCTGGGAAAGCAGTTACAATAGGATTGTAATCAAGAACGGGCAGCAGAACCAGCTGGAGAAGGTGCCCCATGAACATACTCAGGCGCCACCTCTGGACAGTCTCAGCAGAACCTGGACATGCGTGTTTTGAAAGCAGTCTTCGTGCAGTCGGGTCCATCCTGCGTCTACCACTGGAAACTAGGGCTCTGCAGACTTTTACTCTCATAGGTTCCCAGGAGCTGAGTTGTTTCCTAACAATCGTGGTCCAGATCAGATTATTCCGCTCCCACACCACTCTTTTGACTTTAAAGAAATGTTTAAACAGTGCCCTCACTGACGTCCAGAACCTTTCCATTTGGCATTCATGGTGTAATCTGTATTAGTAAAGTATATAATGGACTCTTTGTATCATCATTATAATTATAATTATTTTATTTTTTTGCTGTCATTTGTAGCACCAGATTTTCGCGCTTACTTGATAGGAGGGCTTATCGCCTTTTTGGCTGTGGCTGTGTCTGTTGTGTACATATACAACGTTTTTAAGATCGACATTGTTCTTTGGTATCGAAGTACCTTCCAATCTACAGAGACCCTAGAAGGTAAGTGTGTGTAATCCCTGAAAAATGCCTCAAAATTGGCATCCTCTTACACGTATACAACGATTTCAAATATACTTTGTCATATTTTACTGTGTTGCTGGCAAATTTCCGGTGAAGGAATCTCCTTGGAACTGCCTATGCTTTAGGGAAATGATTTGTCCCTAATCACCAGCATCATTCGGTCAGATAAGGTTTGCAGGCTTGTAGTGATTGAGGAAATATTTGCTAAGCTGCGGGAGGAGACCATCTTCTGAGTCCCGCTGCAACCATGCTACAAAGGTTTCCACGTCCATCCTCTGCCCGCTGCAGGAAAGTTTCTCCAAGGGCAAAGTACTCTCAATCCATGACGTGTACTCAGCAGAGTGGGTGAGCACACGTTGCAGAATAGGTGTCATGGAGAGGGATGAGCTGCCTGCAGTTGGAGCTCTCTCTAGGCCCCGTACTTGGTGCCTGAAGGGATTTAAGTCTTCAACTCTCAGACACGGAGAGAGATCGAACCAAGTTTGAATGTAACTTCTCCACTTACTCCCTATGTAAACTTGGATTTTCAACTTTCTTCTATTTCTCAGCTATAGAAAGGAATGGAGGAAGGAAGGAAGGAGACAGTGAGGGAGGGAGGAAAGAGAGAGAAGGAGGAAGGAAAGGAGAGAGAGAGGGAGGGAGGGAAAATGGAAGGAACAAGGGAGGTTCATAGAAAAGAAACTAAAGAAAGCAGGGGAGAGAGAGGGAGGAGGAGGGAGGAAGGGAAATAAGAAGGAGGAAGGAAAAAAGAAAGAAAGAAAGGGAAAGTGATTACATCCTGCTTTTTGACAGTGGGGATAGCTGAGCCGAAGCACACGGAAGCATTCAGCAGGGGCCTGGGGCACAGGGCGGCCTCTGTTGCTTGTCTGGAGGTCAAGATAAATCCCCAACACCACGGCTGTGGGTTTTGGTCTGTGGGCCTATGTCCTGCCAGTGCTGTTTGGTACAGAAACGCCTCAGTGTGATCCTGACTCTCTGAGAGCCTCGCATTTCCCACCGTAGTGCTTGTGACTCTTTACGCTACTTTTTGTTTGTTTTGTCTCAGAACAGATACAATCTATTAAGTCCTTGAAAAAGTAATAAATCTGCTCTAGTGTCCCCTAATTAGATGAAAAAATTAATATAAGCCCAAAGATGCCGGTGCAGCTGACCTGTGTGGAGATGCACGAATTTATACCTTTGAAGTGCAGAGGCCTGAGTGACAAGAGCAGGAAAGGGAGGGAAACTGGGTGTCCGAGAATGTTGTGTGGGCAGCTAAAACATAGAAGAGGTCACTGCCATCAAGCACCTGCTTTGCACACAGAATACACAGTGCAGTTGTTGTCCACATGTCTGATAAAACATAGGTGTCCTAACTTGGATTTTTTCCAAATTAAATTTCAGCATTCAAAATTAGCAACCCCAAGCAATGGAGAAAGCAATAAACTCCTTTTAATGACACAAGTCATCTGGACCTTAAGTGTCCAGTGCAACCTGAAGTACTCCTAGCACTGTGGATAGTCCGACTGGGCATGGCGGGGTTTGGCTCTGGCATCTGGTTTTGGCTCTGGCATCTGCAGAGGCTGCCCTGTCTAAGCACACCCATGACTGCTCTCCTGCTTGCATCTTTGAGAAGAAGACAGTTCAGTCCCCCACCACTTACTGTTTTCTGACACAGATGTGAGTGCTTCAGCTGCTTTCTACTTTTTGACTCACAGAAGCCTGCGTCACTTGACGTATTCTTCCTGGCAGCTCAGGCCCTGTGGCGTGTCTCTCTCGCTGTCTCTCTCTCTCTCTCAGTGACTCTCTCACTGACTCCCTCACTGAGTCATTGCGACTCCCAGGAGCGTGATTACAGCTGTGACTTATGAGTGTTGTGTAGAGTGTGTGGGGAAGCGGCTCGTGAGGTCGAGTTTAGCAGGAAGAGAAAACAGGAACAGTGACTCACACCGAGTAGCGGGGGCTGGGCAGATGGCAGAGTTAGGCAGCCCTACCCTCTGCCGAGACTGGGACGCAGCCCAGATTTTCCACCAGTGGGCAGAGGATTTGGCGATGGAGGCCCACAGGCCGCCAGGGGTTCCTTTTTTATCTTTATTTTTATTTTGCTTAATTCAGAAAACTATGTGTGCATTTTGTCATGAAATTCTCTACAGTTCCATCTACGAGAGCTGCCTGTACTATCTCTGTGTGTTGGCTTTAAGCTACTGATGACATTCTGAGATGAGTCCCAGATCCTGTTTATGTCCTTGTTCCCCTTGAGGATATTTTCTGAGTTCAATCAGGAAACGCCAATTAATGGATGAAAATGAGGAAGAGAGAAATAATGTCCTTCGTAGGATAAGTCATTTACCCTGACTGGGTTAGCTAAGCTGTGTCGCTCAATTAATAATTAGGTGTGCATGACTCACCGTTTTAGGAGAAGCCATTGACAGCCCTGGCTGAAGTCAGCAAGTTCTGTATCTTCTCCAGCAAGCCACTGGAGCTTTAAAAATTCTCCTGGCAGGGCTGGGTGTGTGTACGAGGACGGAAGGGTCTGTGTACAGATCTCTTAGATTTGAAAATGCCTCGCCTTACTCCAGATAGGTCTTTGGAGAATGTGCATGTAGGATAGAATGGTTAAAACGAAGACAAGGCAAACAGTTGGAGTCATCAAAGGGAAACCAAGGAGACGAGGAAAACCAGTCGCGGTAGAGTTAATGATACCTTTGACAATTATTAAAGGTGAATTTGCTTTTCAAGCCAAAGTAAAGGCAGCGACAAGATCCATTGTGTGCTGTTCACAACAACCTTTCCAATTTTCATGAGAGAACATGGCTTTTTCTGAGACTAATTTCCAAAGGCAGATTTTTTTTTTTTTTTTTTTTTCCAACAGAGAGTCCTCATTTCAAAAGGGCGTGGTGTAGGGAAGCTTGACTGCAACAACTTTCCCATGTCATAGCATGTTTTGTGTGACTTTTCTTCTAGTGTTTTCTATGCGTATTGGGGCTAAACCCACCAAACGTCCTGCGGTTCAGTAAAAGCATTTGCATGGAGGCCAGATTGAATCTGAGTTTTCCACTGTTGTGGTTTGATCTGGCCTAAAATTTAGCAATATCATATTAAGAGAAGGTAGGGAATTGAATAATCTTTAGGCAATATTTCATAAATATTAATTTATGTGAATGAGCTTTTATATGTTTTTTGCCAAGAGCCAAGAAGGACGTAATGATTTTAAGGGAGTGGAAAGAGACTCTGCGTCTTTGCGAAGGTGTGGCAAAGTTCTGGAAGAACACGTGGGACTGGAAACACTGCTGGGGCTACTTTTGGAAAACTCAGACTGACACAGCTGCACAGGACTAATCAGGGATAAGTTTTGTGAAATTTCCTGCTCCCGTTTCTCATTTTAGTCACAGCAAAAGGAACGGCGGACCTGGGTTTACATCAAGGCTACGCACTCACCAGCTGGGAGACTTTGGAGAGAGCGCGCCGTCTTGCTGGTCTCAGCTTCCTTACTCATAATTTGAGATAAGAACCACGTCCCACACGGTTGGTCATGAGAAGCGCATCCAGGAAGTGTTGAGGTGCTGTTGCCTGGCAAGGCGCTTCAAAACCAGTGGCCTGATGCAAAAAGCAAAAGACTGCAACTTGATCTTTTGCTCTTAATATATTGGTCAGTAAATTATGAATTAGTCATTTGAAAGTGATGAAAACTCACTACATTTTGAGAACATCAGCAGGTTCTATTTCTACTCAAAAGCTTAGACAGAAAGAACAAAAAAGATGACCAAAAAATTGGGCACGTTCGTACATTTTGAATTTTTAAAAGGTGTGAGACTTTCTTGCTACTCAAATGTCTTCTGATCCTGAAGTTGCAGAGCATCAAGTACCTATATCTTCAGACACCTCATTTAGAAACAGGGAACAGGGAACATTGGCAAAAGACAGAAGACACTTCGCACACGTGGTTGTTTTTTTTTTTTTATCAGAAACAGGAAAAAAAGAGAAACAGATTGAGAGAAGCGAGATACTAGTGGCAGGGTCTGGGACAAGTGGCAATAAGCCTGCATGTCTGCTGTAGTTTAGAACAGACCAGGAAATACTGTATTCTGTGGTGAACCGAGCATCAACTCAGCCAGCCCTTCATCAGAAACCAAAGGGTAACTATGATCACATTTTTAAATGGGAAAATTTAATTCCTTCTCCAAAAGTTCAGAAACATAAGAACCCTATGAATGTTTCTTTTTCCGTTTTTTATCTACAGAAAAAAAAATCCTCTGGCTTTGGAAAGTCAAATGTGTGCTATGAAATTTTACACAGAAAAGTATCCACTTATGTGAGCAGTGGTCTCGATCAGTGACCTTCAAGATTCCACAAGGAGTTTCAGCTTTGTTGGGTTTTTGCCAATTCAAGACACTAATCAGTTATCCCTTTTGTACCTGCCCTGTGATCCCACCTTAAAAAGCTGAATCTGACCTCAGCTTTGTCCCCAACATAGATAGAAGCTCTTTGAGGCTCTGTAGAATCAAGCTTCATTTGGACATTCGGTGAGCACTGATGAAGGCCTCCTCTGCACTCGGTCCTGCTCCACAGGCTGAGGGTAGGGCAGGGAGCCAACAAAGTCTCCACTCTCACACAGCTTCCTTTCATGATGGGGTGGGAGGCAGAGAAGGAGTGTGTACATGTGTGTGTGCATGCATGTGTGTGACTATATGTGCACACACGGGTGTGCATGCGTGTGCATGCATGCGTGTGTGTGTTACCATTCTCCATAAGAGATGGTCAAGAATGGTGAGCAGAGACCCAAAGGTCAGCAGTGGTTGGTGTGAGAACTGATGGAATGAGAAATGGTGATATGCAAACTGTCAAGATCTGTGCACGTTTTCATTACTATTATTTGGACGAAAACTAGAAGAGTACAAGGTTTTCCTTTCCCTTGTTAATCTTAAAATCACCTGTTTCTGCAAGTCTGCTCATCCAATAAGCTCTCATGAAAAGGGAATAGAGAAGGACACCACTCCTCTCTAGTACCTTCCAGGTTGTCTGAGTTTCTCAACAGCCCAAAGCTCGAAACCGCATTTTCCCACGAGACGCCCACACTTACCTCTTCTTCCACTCAAGCCCTCTGGCCCTGCTGAAGTTCCTTATTGATTTACATGATTCCTGAGTAGGAAATGATTCCTCCTTCCATGCCCTTCTGAAGCTGCTCCCTTGCAAGCCTGTTTACCATCCACTCTTAGACCCTCACTTTTTTCCCTCTAAACTCTCCCACCCTTTAAAATCCAGGAGCTCCAGCCTGGCCAACATGGTGAAACCCCGTCTCTATCAAAAGTACAAAAATTAGCCGGGCATGGTGGCGGGTGCCTATAATCCCAGCTACTCAGGAGGCTGAGGCAGGAGAATCGCTCGAACCTGGGAGGCGGAGGTTGCAGTGAGCCAAGATAGCGCCACTGCACTCCAGCCTGGTAGATATGAGCGAGACTCCATCTAAAAATAATAATAACAAAAAAATTTAAAAATCCAGGAGCTGTCCCATGTTCATTGTGATTTTTTTTTTTTTTCCAAGGACTCCAGACCATGGAGATTTTTGTTTCTTGCTGTCTTTTCTGTTTGTTTGGCTCTCGTCGCCGTGTTGTGTCTTGTGTTGTTTCAGTTCTGTGCATGTGAATGGTCTGCCCAGTGAGGTCTGTGTCTTGCTCATCTCTGCACTGGCCAATGCAGAGGCTGCTTTTGAGGCCGCTCAATAAATACTGATGACGATGATGACGATGACATGCGCTGTTGGGTCTGACTTCTCTCAACGGCACTGCAGATTACTAGAGTCTGCTTAATTGCTTGTTCTCTCGTTTCACAGATGTGAGTCTGTGGGCTTGTAGTGATGGAATTCTTAGACTGGTGGGTCTGAATCAGGAGGGAGTCATCCAGTTTGGCCTGGTGCAGTTAGGACAGTACTCCGTCACACAGAACACGCTGAGGGTAACATGGGTAAATGGGTAGTTTCCTGCTTTTTTGTTTGTTTATTTTAGAGATCCTTTTCTTGTTTGTTTTAGAGATATGGTCTTATTCTGCCCACCAGGCTGCAGTGCAGTGGCGTGATCATAGCTCATTGCATCCTTGAACTCCTTTTTTTTTTTTTTCGAGACAGAGTTTTGCTCTTGTCCCCTAGGCTGGAGTGCAGTGGTGTGATCTCGGCTCACTGTAACCTCCGCCTCCCAGGTTCACGCAATTCTCCTGCCTCAGACTCCTGAGTAGCTGGGATTACAGGTGTCCACCACCATGTCTGGCTAGCTTTTTGTATTTTTAGTAGAGACAGGGTTTCACCATGTTGGCCAGGCCGGTCTTGAACTCCTGACCTCAGGTGATCCACCCGCTTTGGCCTCCCAAAATGCTGGGATTACAGGCATGAGCCACCATGCCTGGCCACAACCTTGAACTCCTAAGCTCGCATTTCAGCGTCCTGAGTAGCTGAGATTTCAGGCATGAGCCATCATGCCTGGCTAACTTTTTAACAATTATTTTCTTTGGAGAGTCTTGTTACATTGCCGAGGGTAGTCTTGAATTCCTGGCCTCAAGCTATCCTGCTTCAGCCCATTTATTACAGCCATGCGCTACTGCGCCGGACGAGTCTCCTGCCTTTAATTCTCATTTCTGGCCGCATCACAGGGAGTGGTGGACTTAGAATCAAAAGACGTGGGGTAAGGTTAGGGATTGCAGATGTGATGCAGCCTACCCAGTCTCAGCTTCACTCTTGTGCGTTGGGGATAAGACCACCTCCCTCAGGCGTCCATTTGCGAGAGGAGATGATGTCGCTTGGCAGCCCCTGGCACCGTCAGCCAGCTGGGCACTCGGAAGTCATGGATCCCAGGCCAAAGGACACCATGGTAGCCGCTCAGGCTTCCGGTTTGTTAACATGAGAGAATTTGGTAGCAACAATTCCACGAGCGTGTCCATTTCCTTTTCAGACGGGAAGCTGTATGACGCCTACGTCTTATACCCCAAGCCCCGCAGGGAAAGCCAGAGGCATGCCGTGGATACCCTGGTGTTGAAGATCCTGCCCGAGGTGCTGGAGAGGCAATGTGGATATAAGTTGTTTATATTCGGCAGAGATGAATTCCCTGGACAAGGTGTGTTTTAAGTGAGGTATAAAAATAACAAATAAAAGAAGGAAAGTGACCCTTCTGTTCCTCCACTTTACTAATGGCGATGACTCTGCCTGCCTTCCCCATGGAACCACAGGAAGTCTATGACCAGCGCCCCCCGCCTGCCAGCCCCTAGTCCCCAGCCAAGGAGGTTAGGCGCAAGCTCGCTGCCTGCTCTGGGCTCCTCCCTGCTCCGCAGTGTCTGGGATTCGTGCTTGCAGCAGCGTGCATCTCACTTTGAGTGAGGATATGGTTAAGCCGTTCACAGAAACAGGTGGCCAGTGATGTAACTACATTGTTACAACTACACAACTACGTTGTGGCTAAAGGACTGAAAGGTGGCGAGTGGTCATTTGCCCTCACGTCCCTGAGACGAACTGCTAGGTGTTTTCCATGGGTTTGAACAATGTAAATCAGGTCGTGCTTAAAGCTGATTTTATAAACCTCAACCCTACTTGCCTCTCCCCTCCCTAAATACAATGGAAGTTTTAGTGCACTTTTCCCATTTGATAGGAAGGTGGCTTTGGACAGTTCAGTTAACATCTGTGAACCTCAGTTGTCTCATCTGTAAAATGGAGATGGGGTGCTTCCCTGACTCAGATGAGAGAACTGAATGAGAAAACCTGAGAAGGGGCCGCTGGCATGGAGCTCAGCACACTTTAGACACTCACACAATGGTGCCTTTCTGTCCCTTTAGTCTCTTTCTTGGAAGGCTATACAGCAAAATGACTGAAATCTGGAATAAATGTTCTTTTCTAGTCACCAGTAAATGCCAATTCACTCACTTATTCAACAGATATTTACTGAAAACCCCTCTACGTGATGAACAGTATTCTAGGCACTAGAAATACAAAAATCAGCCAAGCAGAAGGGCCTGTCCTCAGGGAGGTTCCAGTCTATTCTTATTTCCTATGAGAGGCAACTGTAGACTGAATAGCATCTGCAGAGCTGGGTATTTAAAGAGCCCTCCCTTTCCCAAGCAATCATCAGGGCATGTTATTTGGTTTCTAAATTAGTCACATAAATCCTGGTCCTTTAAATAACCGTAAAGACAAAAGGAAAACACAAATTCAAGATTAACGCAACATTTCAGCTAACTACATGTTTCCTATCCTTTTAAAATCTATTTTTAAAAATGTGTTCATCTGCTAATATACACCAGACCTTCCGGTAGTCTGGGGATACAAAGTTAGGCACCATCAGATACTTGTTGGCCAGGGAAAGTGACATACAAAGAAACCACATGCAAAACATGATTCATGACTATAGAGGACCAAGGCTTCAGGGAAAGCCACGGACTTCACAGAAGAGGTGACAAATGTTAAGAAAAAAGAAAAAAAACCCAAAACTTGTATTAATCCATTCCTGACTAAGTCATGTTTATTCTGAAGTCCATTTTTGGCCAGGCACGGTGGCTCACACCTGTAACCCCAGCATCTTGCGAGGCCAAGGTGGGCAAATCACTTGAGGTCAGGAGTTCGACACCAACTTGTGGTAAAACCCTGTTTCTACTAAAAATGCAAAAATTAGCTGGGCGTGGTGGCACGTGTCTATAATCCCAGCTACTCAGGAGGCTGAGGCAGGAGAATGGCTTGAACCTGGGAGGTGGAGGTTGCAGTGAGCTGAGATTGCATCTCTGCACTCCAACCTGGGCAACAGAGCAAGACTTCATTTAAAAAAAAAAAAAAAAGTCAGTTTTCTCCTCTCAGAGCCTGTTTCAAATATTCTCACTAGCATGAAGACCCGGGCTGTTTTAATTGTGAGCTCTTCTGAGCCTTCTTTCTTTATTTCCAGCTGTGGCCAGTGTCATCGATGAAAATGTTAAGCTGTGCAGGAGACTGATTGTCATTGTGGTCCCTGAGTCGCTGGGCTTTAGCCTGTTGAAGAACCTGTCAGAAGAACAAATCGCCGTCTACAATGCCCTCATCCAGGACGGGATGAAGGTTATTCTCATTGAGCTGGAGAAAATTGAGGACTACACAGCCATGCCGGAGTCCATTCAGTACATCAGACAGAAGCACGGGGTCATCCGGTGGCACGGGGACTTCACGGAGCAGTCACAGTGTGTGAAGACCAAGTTTTGGAAGACAGTGAGATATCACATGCCGCCCAGAAGGTGTCGGCCGCCCCCTCCGGTCCAGCTGCCGCAGCACACACCTTGCTACCGCACGACAGGTGAGCGGGTGGGAGGACACAAGGTTCGTCACGCTCTGATGGAGGGTCTGTCGTTACGCGGTGGCTCACAGCTGGAGGAGGACACATTTCATCGGGGCCGTCCGCTCTGAAGCTGGCAGTTGCGTGCTAGTGAGAGGGTCTGTTGTATTTGTTGGCATTTGTTTGCTTCGATCAGAGCTGCTTCTTCAGGGAAAGACACGGCTTCTGCAGAAGGCCCTCTTTAGCCTGTGGGCTTGTTGACACACATGCACACTCACTGCGGCCTGGGTGGATACAGCACTTGCGCCCCCTGGGAACAGGACAGGGAGGGTTTTAGAGATGGCAGTGGACATGCCCGGAAGTTTGCCCATGCTGTGGCACCCATGGAGTCTGAAATGGCAGCCTGTGCTATCGGGGGACGACAGGAGGGCAGTCTAGCACCAGGAGAGGGTTGGCAAGGATAGCAGTATTTGTCTGCGTCTGTTCAGTGTCCGCAGGGCCCCGTGCTCAGGGGTCATTTGCCGTGTCCGTGTCTCTCTCACTCTGCCAGTGTAAAGAGCTGTGACCACAGCCTTAGCACTGTGCTTCCAGAAGCTAGTTAAAAGTCACCTAGACCAGTGGGGACCCACGGGTGTGGCCATGACTGCCGCTTGGTCACCCTTCCATGCTTTGAGAGGCTTTATCTGTCAAACTAAAGCAAGCAAGAATTCCTTTCCTTTCCCTTTTAGACACGTCAGCCAGAATTCTGAGCAGCCTGTGAGAGACGCAGTTAGCACACAGGTGATAGAATTCTAGTCCGAGCAAGGCAAAGTCAGTTTCCAGTGAGCCAGTGTGCCCTTGTCACAGGCCAATTTGTAATGTAATGATTCACAAAGTTTTTTAATACAAAAAATTAGCTGCCAACCCTCATCGCTTTTTTCCAAGACCCTGGCCTGAGGGAATTAGACATAGCTCAACCCTCTGAAGCTGTGGTTGTTGACACTGAGACTTAGCAAGCAGTCAGTGGGGGCTGGAGGGGAATCAGCCTTGAGAACCAGCCGGTGGGGTCGGGAGTGGGAGCGGGAGCCAGATGGAATGGGGAGTGGGGTGGGTTGGGAGGCGCTGTGCCTTCATTCACAGGCGGTGGGTTGTGCCCAGTGTGGGATGGATTTTCAGGGGCTAAGGAGCCCATTCCTGTGTTTGAAGGATTTCTGTTCCAAGGTGACCTCACATTACACATTTGTTTAGCATCCTACAGAGGCCTCGACTCGACATTGGTCCACTTTTTATTTAACATTTGCTTTTTAAATTTCTTATTTCAGCAAACCATATGAACATAAAATTTACCATTTTCACAGTTTTTAAGTGTATAGTTCTGTGGCACTGTTGTTTGGCCATCGCCACCATCCATTCCAGAATTGTTTCATCCTCTCAAGCTGAAATTCTGTACCATTAAGCTGTGCCTCCCCATTGCCTTCCCATTGCCTCCCCACTGCTCTGAGGTAGGACATAAAATACATTTTAAGAATAACAGCACTAAAAAATGGCTACTATAATTCATTACTACTATTACATTTTTGATACTTTTCAATAAAAAGAAAGTAGAGACACATATTGGAAAGAGGGAAGCTTTTTCACTTATAAAACTCCAGTTAAAGAATTCACCAACAGTGCTGGTCTCCTGTAAGTCAGAGGTTTCCAGAAAATGCCTTTTCTTCCGACGGGTCGGCTTTCTATTTTGCTGACAGCCTCGACTAATGTCCTGTGAGTGTGATCATTCACTTATAAATAATTAATTGCTAGAGAATCCGTTTTGTAAAATTCACAGGCACGCCCTTCAGAAAGGACACATCCCGGCATCTCTCCCGTCTCCCCACACTGTGGCTGCCTCTGGCTCCCTCCATCCTGCGGAGGGAAGTGGCTGGGAAGGGAGGAGGAACAGTGCTGAGATGCCCTCAAATCGGAATGGGGTAGGGGTATTCCCCAAATCCTCACCAAACCACAAACCAGTGACCACTCACCCATTGCGGTCCAGATCTTACTGCACCAGGGCTAGTCAAGCGGCCAGAGGTGGTGTCCACTACCCTCAGGGGGTTTCCTGGCCTGTTCTCATACGCAGTCCACAGAAGGAAGGGCGAAGCGTCCTCAGCCAGCCCGCAGCCACCCTGCCCGCTCCAGCACTGCAGGCAGCCTCCAGAGACCAGCCCAGAGAAGAGAACAGCAGCGAGTGACAGGACAGAGTGCGGAACAGATCCAGCAACGCCCATTTTCCTCTTGGATGCAACAGGAGAAAGAGCCTGTTTTAATTAAACTAGCAGATCCTCCATGAGGAATGACGACGCCCATGTTGGAGAGAGAAATCGAGATGCAAAGAAACTTTTTAAAGTTCTACTAATTCCTAATGAAATAATAGGGATGCAGTGCAGCAAGAATACGAATAATTAAAGTAGCCTGGCATCACCGCTGACAAGTAAGCAGGTTGGCAGGTAACAGCTCTGCTGATGGTCTCAAGTCCAAATTTGCATAAGAAAGGAGGTTTAAGAGTTCAATGGCTAAGGGACAAAAAGGCAGTTTATAGGAAAGCTGAAGGCCACCCTCAATTCTCTCCCGTTTCTCCAACTGGGCTTGGAGCAAATATGAGGTCAATGGGGTCCTATCCCTAGTCCTTGGGGGTGGGCTCCAGAATTCTAGTCCAAGCAAAGCGAAGTCCGTTTCCAATGAGCCAGTGTGCCTTCGTCACAGGCCAATTTATAATTTAATGATTCACAAAGTTTTTTAATAGTATAAATTAGCTTTAAGTCCTCATCATTCCTTTCCAAGATCCTGGCTTGAGGGAATTAGAGGCGTCCCTGGGGATTGGAGGTAGGGCTGAGAGAGGAGACTGGACCCGAGAGGTGAAATATAGGTGTTGAATTGCTGGGTTACCTTTACACTCACCTTCCTATAATGACTGAGTCAGCCACAAAACCCACTTCCTTTGGTATCTCCCCTCAAATACCCTGAGTCGGCTCGTGAGAAAGGCCCTGGCAGAGACCCAGTCACGTGAAATAAAGGGCCCGGGAAGGTGCGATCTTTCCCTGGAGGACCAGGCGAGATGAAGTGCTTGGCACACCATGGGATGCCGTGAGGGGCTGGCCTGCCAAAATATGGAATGTGCTCAGGGAGCCTCAGCCCCCAGGGCCCCCCACACCCATCAGCACCCCATAGTGACGCAGACCACTTCCTGCCACGTCACAGTTGGTTGACCTTTCCTTGGCACTTGGTCCTGTTTTTTATTTATAAACTTCTCTCCAACACATGCTTGTCTGGTTATTGATCTGGGGCTGTGTAAAGTGGAAAATTCCTTCCTAGTTTCCTTGAAGAACAGAGGCTGTTCCAGATGAGGTCTGGAGTGAGCTACAGAGGGTGACGCTGGCTCTAGGAGCGGTGGCTGCTGAGTCTGAATGTTAGAGGCCACACATCTCCAGTAATATTATTCTCGGAGATGGGAACTCTGTGTGTGGATGTCCCCGCCCATACACCCAGGGACTTCTGAGAAACGCTGCTGTTCACAATATAATTCCACCCGCATCTCCCAGGCTGTCCCTGGAGAGGGGCTCTCCACTTGAGAAGGACCTCAGAGCCCTGGCTCTTGTCATCCAAATTCACCTTTCCTCTGGGGCTCTCATAGGAAAGGTGACAGTTGCCACTGCTCACCTGTGATGCTCTGGCATAACCACCTTGCAAAGATAACCCAAGAGAAATGGAAGCCTCAGGGATATACCACCAGATGAACTGACTGCAAGGTAGAGATTTTCGCATTCCCATGGCAGGTTTCCTCCTCGGCCCCCATCTCCCACTACATCAGAAAAGGGGGAAATAGATCTTTCCTGATTTCAAGCCCAAAACTAGGCTCAAGAAGAAAGAAGTGTACTCTCAAGACTGGCTAAGACTTGCTGGACTGACACCTATGGCTGGAAGATGACATGTTTTGCTCCACACCTCCTCATTCCTACACCTATTTTCTGCTGCAAGATGAGGCTAGGGTTGGCATTCTACACACCTGGTTGAGCTCAGGCTTAGAGAAGAGGAGGATGGGATAAGAGCTGGGGCATCAACATGGTCATGGTGGGTGAGAGCTGGGGGCCATCCCCATGGTCATGGAGGGTATCCCCGTGTCATGGTGGGTGAGAGCTGGGGGCCATCCCCATGTCATAGTGGGTGAGAGCTGGGGGGGG